GCCCCGGCGCCGGCCCGCGCGGCCGCCGCTTCTCCTCACCCTCTTTCCTTCCTCCCAGGCTGCACCAATCTCGGTCCCTCCCCGCACCAGGAAGTGGGCCCGGCGCCGGAAGTGACGTCGTCAGACCGCGCCCCCGCCGGCCCCGCGCACCGCTTTTTCCGGCCGGCGCCGGGCCCTTGCCCCTACCGCTGCCGCCTCCCACCCCGCTCGGCCCCTCCGACGCAGCCCACCAGTCGGCCCCCACGCGCGGCGCCGCCTCCCGCCAGCCCCTCGGCCTCAGGCCCCCACACACAGCACGGCAGGCCCGGCGCCCGGCGCTGAACCTCGGCCTCACCCGAGCGGACGCCGGCCCGCCCACAGGGGTCCCGGAGAACTCGACCTTGGCGGCTTGCGCGTCCCTCGAAGGCATGGGAGAGGACCTGATGTTCCTTCAGTTTCTCGCCTAGGTTCCTGGACAGCGTACTTATTTTCCTAATGCTTTGACTTAAGATAATTAGCAACATATATTATGCATGTCGGGATTACAGTCCAGTGTTTTCTTTTCCCTAATACAGGCCGTGTACTTCTTGGATGAGTAACCAAATAACTTGTTGCATGACCGTGAATAAAGCGGCTCGGAAGAAATCGTGTTGAGGGAGCCTCCACCCCAGGCGCAGAGCGGAGGTCAGGCGCGAACAGGCTCGCGGTGGAACCGTGCGACTCCATGGCAAGAAACTAAGGAAACCGGGATGAGTACCAATGACTGGCACAATCTGAGGAGAGGCATGAAACATCAGAGAAGCTGGGGTTTGTTTTGTGCCTAAGGATTATTTTAAGTGGTTAAGAAGAAAACTTCTGAACTGTACAGGAAGACATTAAGTGTTGGTATTTACACTAAAGCATCATCCAGAATTCTAGCATTTGAGGACATTCAAGACGCTTTTTGCCTTCTGCCCTATAGGAGGAAATCACTCCATTCTGTCAAGCCACTAACAGGGATCCTGTGGTTTCATTTCAAAGCGCTCAAGTCAAGTCAAAAACAAAGTGTTCAGAGATGCCAAGAGGGATGAAATTAGGCTTATTTTCCCCTGAAGTTGAGAAATTCTTACAAGAAAGTTCTGACATGTTTCCCTCCAAATTGAACAGATTTGTTTTTTCATTGGAATGGAACAGCAAAAGCAAAGCTACCTCCTAGTTCCATTTTGCTCCTTTCCTCCCTAAAAGAATTTTCAAAAATTATGTACCACATATGTAATTAATAACTGAATTTTTTCTTCATGATTTTAATTAATTGGAAAGAATATAATTTCTGACATTCTGATAATGGCATTTTAAAATTAAACTGTGACATTCTTTTTAATATATCCAATGGAATCTAATAGAGAAACAATATCCATTCTCTGTCTACAAACTGTATGAAAAACTCTTCTTTGAAAGTCAGATGTTAATTCTTTTTCCCTTTAACTCACTTCCATTCCACTGTGCCCCCAAATTGTATCCTAATGCAATCTATTTTTATGCTTGGAAGTCTTACTGATTACACTTACCTTTTTTTGCAAGAGACCCATACAGTTATTCATTTACAGATTCTACATTTCTGAACTAAAACATGTGTAACCCCAAAATCAATACTTCTACTTTCTCATTTATAGAACATGCAGAACAGTGAAAAATTTGAATCACCTTATGTGCACATTCCCACCTGGGTGTCAACAAGGCCATCCTATGCCTTCTTGTTTTAGTTCTCGTACTATAAACAAATGTCCTTTCCTTGATCTACTTAGTGTCACGTTTTTTGAATTTTTGTGCTTTTCGTTGGTGACTTCACTGTTTTAAATGGCCCCCAAGCGTAGTGCTGAAATGCCATCTAGGGTTCCTAAACGCAGGAAGGTTGTGATGTGTCTTACAGAGAAAATACGTGTGTTAGATAAGCTTCGTTCAGGCATGAGTTATAGTGCTGTTGGCCGTGAATTCAATGTTAATGAATCAACAATACGGTACATCCAGAAAAAGGAGGAGGAGATCCGCCGATCTGTATGTGAGGCTGCTCCAGGAAGTGCTAAAGTAACATCTATAGTGCGTGATGAAGCTATGGAAAAGATGGAAAAGCAGCTGAATTTGTGGATTCATGAGATGATGACCAATAAAAAAAGCATAGTGGACAGTATCATTGTGAGGCTGAAAGCCAAAGAAATTTACAGTCATGTTACCCAGGGCCAGGAAAATGTTAAACCCTTCTCAGCCAGTGCGGGCTGGCTTGCTCGTTTCAAAAGGCGATACAGCATGAAAAATTTTAAGCTTGCAGGCGAGGCAGGTTCTGCAGATCAAGAGGCTGCAGAAGAATTTAAAAAATACCTGCTAAGCATTATACATGAAAAGGGTTATGTGGAAGAGCAGGTTTTCAACGCTGATGAGACTGGCTTGTTTTACAAGAATGTTGGTAAACGAACCTATGTAATGCAGATGGCTTCCAAAGCCCCTGGCTTTAAAGCATTCAAAGACCGTGCAACCTTGCTATTGTGCACCAATGCCAAGGGCGACTTTAAGTGCAAACCCCTAATGGTATACAGAGCCCCAAACCCACCAGCACTTAAAGGGAAAAACCTGAATTGTATGCCAGTCCATTGGAGGTGGAACAAAAAAGCATGGATGGTATCCAAAATATTCTTGGATTGGTTCCACAATTGCTTCATCCCAGAAGTCGAATGCTATCTCCAGGGCAAAAACCTTGCCTTCAGAGTTTTATTGATTTTGGATAATGCCCCAGTTCATTGCCATGAAGAACTTGAAAATGCCCACCCCAACATAGAAGTTCTTTTCATGCCCCCAAACACTACATCTCTCATCCAACCCCTCAATCAGGGTATAATGAAAGCTTTCAAGGCTCACTACATAAGGCAGCTTTATAGTAAGGCTTATGAGTCTCTTGACACCAACAAGGAAACCACCATGATAGACTCCTGGAAAGCAGTCACCATACGCAATGTTATTGATTATGTTGGCTCAGCCTGGGACAGCATTAAGCAGGCTACTATCAATAAGTGTTGGGAAAATATCTGGCCAGACTGTGTGAAAAATTTTGAAGGCTTCGAAAGTGTTACAGAAAATATAAAGAACAGTGTCAAAAACATAATGCATATTGCACAGCAAATAAGTGGAGAAGGTTTCAGTGACATGAAGGAAGAAGACGTGGAGGAACTTTTGGCAGAGAAGGCAGTAGAACCCACCAACAAAGACCTGGATGAGATGGGCAAACACAGCATCAGAGTCAGTGATGAAAGTCAGGACAGTGATGAAAGTCAGCCTAGGACTCCAAGAATTGTCCCTCTCACAGCGGCCAAAATATCAGAGTGGAATTCTGCCTTGGAAAAAATTTTCAATGACATGGAAGAATGTGACCCTGTGCTTGAACGCAGCCTCACATTTAAGCGCCTAACCTCCACTGCATTTGTCCCGTATTCTGAGACACTTAAAGATTTGAGGAGAAAGGCCAGGCAGACAAGGCTGAAGCAGTTTTTCGAGCTGGTTTGAAAGCTGCCGACACTGTCGACAAGTTGCAGAAGCCAAAGTCCTGATGAGAACTGCCAGACCATGGCACGCCACCCTCACTGTCCTGCTCCTCATCTGCAGGATACATTCCCCCAACCTCTCCTTTGGTTTTCATGGGGCAAGCCAAGGTCAAGAAGTTACACCGCATGGACACTGACCATCACACATCCTGCAGTTCCATCCACAGTAAGATTTTAGTTAATGTTTTTATAAAACCTTAAATGCTTAATCTTTGCTTAATGCTTTTTTCAGGACTTTCTGTATTTACATTATTCCACAGTATACAGTGTGTGTTTACAGTACTATGTGTTTACTATCTGTGTTTATGTGAATACTGTGTATGTGTACTATGGGTATGTATGACAAAGTTAAACTAGTACAATCATATGCTGTAACTGAAACAGTGTTTTATTATAAAGATACTACATATAATTATTTGTAAGAAATATATATTAAATAAGCTGTCTTTGAACAAAAATCCACACAAAATAAGGTTATGTGCTGATTGGTTGACAAAATGTTGTGACTAGAGTCTTGCAGGAACCTAACCCTGTATTTCCCCAGGAGCCATGTTGCAGTCATCAATAATTCAACATTCAAGTAACTTTATAGAATGTAACTACCACAAATGATGAGATTATTAAGCCATAAGGGTCTAATTGTGATGATTTTTCTTCTGAATTGAGTTAACACAGCTATTATGAGTACAGAAGTAATGGAAACAATTATTACAGTTTTCAATAATTACTAAATATAAAATGCAAAATTTTATTTTGGAATGTATATCTTAATGAACTGTATGGGGCTTTTTAAAAAATTAGTTCATTTACACATAGATGACTATCACTTTTTGCTATGAGATGCAGTCCAGCATCTACTGTTTTCCTATCTTGGGGTTTTTTATGCAGATGCTGAAAAACCTTGTTCATAAAAATAAGTACATAAAAACTGGAGGAGTTTTATTATGATGTAACTCATTTCTCTCAAGCCTTCTGACTTATATGGCCAAAGTCCAATATGATCTATCATAAATTTAAAAAATTTTAAATCATCAGTTACCAACTTCATTAAGGTCTCCTTCAATTTCTGTGAAAGCTAAGAAGTGGAAGCCCTTGAGTTACAAAATTCTAGGCATTAAGTTCATTGACTCCTCAACACCACGGATATTTCTAATTGTCCCTTTGTCATGTGGCCTGGAGGTATTCCATCTTGCAGCGGTACACCTCAGGAAGAAAAGAAATAAGGGAGAGGTCTGCCTTTTTATGTGGAAGTGGGAGAAGAGTCCCTGTGAAAGGGGAGGCGGGCAGCCAACCCAGTTTCTTGTCTTCCACGGCCACAGGCACCTTCTCAGTTGGTCACTTTTAGATGAGTGCATAAGCAAGTGGAGGGTCTGGAAATGGATTTCATTAAAACTATCCTGTGCCAGCACATCCCTTGGAAAGTCTTCTGTACACATCTAGCTAGTTCAAAGAACACTGTACCTAAACAACATGCCTGTTCAGAAAACTAATGTCAGAGAGTCAATACTTTATAGCAAGTGGTGCCTGGCTCTGTAACAAACATGTTGTGTCATCTTGGACAGGTCACCTGACCCCTCTGGGTCTGTGCCCTTATTTCTGGTTTAAAGCAAACACAGCCTTTCTCAGAGAACTGCTAGGAGGATCCCATGGATAATAAAACAATTCAGCAATATTTATTGGGCCTAGACTCCATGGCAGATCATGTCATAAGCATTGTGAAAGCAAGAGAGATAAGGTTCCTGCCCTCTTAGAGCCAGGGAAGACCTGCATACAACATGGTGAGTGCAGCCACACAGATGTACACACAGGACCAGGGCAGGGCCAGCTGCTTGACCAACACAGAAGGTGACGTCTTAGTTGGGCCTCTACAGGTGAAGAGGCAGATGGAATTGCATATTGGTGTCACATTTCAGAAGTCCATGGTGTTTCCAAGGATGGTGAGTCACCAAGGGCAACTCAGATCATGGGTGAGGCTGCAATGGAAAAAAATATATTTGGAACACTGTGATACAAAACAAGATAGTTAAAAGTCCCCCGTCGTCCGTTGCTGAAGAAGTTATATGAATGGTCAGTGAACACATGAAGAAGTATTCAACATCGTTAGTTATAAGGGAAATGGAAGTTAAAACCACAGATGAGGCTGCACCCCATGCCAAGACGCAGTGCTGGGGCTGAAAGTCTAAAGACATGCACCTTCTGAGACTCTGCTTAGCATTTAGTGGTTCATCTGCTTTTTAATTCTGTGGTAGTCATTGCTTTTTCCTAATCAGATTGCAGCTGTCTCCTGACCAGGACTTGTTCTCATTCACAGCACTCTGTGCTCACTCCACAGTCAGTGATGTTAAAAGGAATGAGAATGCAGGCATGTGGTTTTCACTGGGCAAGTCTGCTGGACACAATTCTTCTTCCAAATCCACTGGAAAACAAATGAAGCAGGCAGAAATTTCAAGACTTGGTTGCTAAATATCAGATAGGTAACTACTTCCAGAAAATGGGTAGCCTAGTAAACAGGTAGTTTACTGAAAGAAATTAAAGCCTTTAATAAAGCACATTTTTGTTTTGCTTTTCTTCTTCAACAAATCCCAAAGTTCAAGTCTTAGATGGAATGCTAGGGGAAAAACAAAATGTTTTCCATAACTAGGAAACTGGCCAAATTACAAAGGCTAATAACAAACAAGAATGTACAAAATCTCTGGTTCCCAGTCTAAATTCAGATATGCCCGAGAAATGAAATGTTAAGAAGAAGACCAACAAGACTACATTGCTTAAATTAATTCATGTATCCCCTGAGGCTTGGTTCCCACAAACTCCAAAAGCACATGTAAAATCCTTCAGAGCTGGTGGCAACGGTCCCAAATTCATGCCAATACCAAAAATGGACAAAGAAAATATTTAAGGATAAAACATTCATCAGATAAACTAGAATAAATTTCTCCACTGAGTCGTACTTTGTTTTTGAAATAATGTATGTTAATTGTCAAGTGAGAGCAAGCTGGAAAAGAACATGTGCCCTGCCACAGCTCAAGGTCAATCTGCAGTGGTGTAGACACCAGTGAAGCAGGTATGGCTGGGCTGAGCCACTGGTGAAGTGTCAGCACATTCCATCAGGAGGGGCCGTTTCTTGTGCCTTTGAAGGATCTTGATACAGGAAAATAGAGCAGTATAGATTCATAAGACAACTCAAATTGAGTCTTTTAGTCAGAATTTTTTTTTAAGTTTTTGCCTGTTCATATGGAATAATCATCTTTTTTTTTTTAATCCTTATGCTTGTGACCTAATGAAAACAACCTATAAATTATGGCATGGTATTCTGTAAATCTAAGCTACTGATTACTTTCTCCTTAAGCTCCATTTCTCTATTGTTCCTTTGTTTCTATATCGATCCTTTGGCATGTGTTTCCTCTCCTCAATGCATTTCAGAGTGGATGGAGATATCTTTTCTTACTGTCAACTGTTGAGGAAGCCTGTGGGGACATGTGTCCTCTGATGGATAGGTGCTAATAAATCCAGCATGGGTACTTGCTGTGTATCCTGATGGTAACAGTGCAGGCCCTTAGGTTTACAACCTTCTAAGAGAGGTGGAGTTAGGCCCCCTGTGAGCACGTGCTGACTGGGACGCGGCCTCATATATCTGCTCTGTGCCTCAGTGACAACCCCGTGTCCTACCTTTGATCAGGACACCGCAGGTGAGGGTGTTAAGTCCGGCCATGTGGTCCCTGACGGTGCACCACTGGTTAGATGTGTGCTCTCAGATGTCTCAGAGGGTTACTGCGGCTGCCCTGCCGCTTTGCGTTTGCTTCGCCTCCACCACTCAGATTTGCTTCTGCGGCATCCTCCTGCCTTCCCCTCCACACACAACAACACCAACAGGCAACACTAAGAGCTCCAGGGTTGCTCCTGCCCTCCTGGCCAAAGAGATCGCCTTTGGCTTTTAAGCTGCCCAAAAAGCTGCACCGATGGCAAGTTAAAGCCTCAGAGCCATAGTAGAGAAGACTGGACACGACTACCTGGAAAAAACCTATTTTAATCCACATGCGAGCTTGTGGGATTTGAAGACATGCGAAGAGGGCTGGCTCATTTTGCAGAGGAGATGATGAAGCCAACGGGAGCCATTCCCCCAGAGGAAGAAACCTGAATGCGGGGCTTAGAAACAGCTGAGGACACTTATGGTTAAGCACATCTCTCTATAAATAGCAGCTGAGCCCTGCCCTAGAGCGAGGCAGGGGAAAAGAGGAAAGAGAAGGAAGCAACACTGGCCTGGGACACTTGTAAGCCATAAAAGCCTTTTCCATGAAAGAACTCAGGAGCCAGTTGGGACTTTTCATGTTAACTCTGAGTAATAAAAATGTGACAAAAAGATCATTATCACTCAGAACTCAATTGTCTGCAGAGTGTGTGCTGAAATAAATAGGGCCATGGCTGTGAATAAGATGTGTAGCAGTGTATACTTGGGAAATAAATCTTTTAAAAATCACTTAGAAAAACTGATCTTCATTAGTTAAAGACTACTAATGCATGCACAAGAATTTTATTTTGTTCAAGTTACTGTAACTGAAATATCTCATTGCTTACTTATAATTTACCTGTCAAGTCAGTCCTCTATTCAAAATCCTTAAAAGCTCCCCATTTCACTCAGAGGAAAAGCCAAAGTCCTTTGAGAGAACAAGAAGACAAACTACAGCCTGGAGAAGGTATCTGCAAAACACACATCCAGCCAAGGACTTGTATCCTAAATATACAAAGAACTATTAAAACTAAACAATAAGGAAACAATTCAATTTTTAAAATGGGCAAAAGAACAGACAACTCACTAGAGAAGACACAGATGGCAAGTAAGCATGTGAAAAGATGCTCAGCATCATACGTCATCAGAGAGATGCTAGTTAAAACCACCACCACTTCCCACCTGATAGAATGACCAAAATCCAGAACACTGACTACACCAGATGCTGGTGAGGACGGGGAGCAACAGGAGCTCGCATGCACTGCTTGTCGGAACACAAAGCAGCGCAACCCTGCGGAGGCAGATGGGCGGCTTCTCACAGAGTAGCCCTAGCTTATCACACAGTCAGCAGTATGCTCCCTGTTGGTACCTAAGTGAGTAGGAAACTTACATCCACGCACAAGCCCGCACACAGATGTTTACAGCAGCTTTATTCATAATTGCCAACACTTGGAAGCAACCAAGATGTCCTTCAGTAGGTGAGTGGATAAACAAACGTGATACATCGTAGTGGGATTATTCAGTGATGAAAAAGAAATGAGCTATCAAACCACAAAAAGATATGGAGGAACCTTAGTCTACAGCCATACCACCCTGAACACACCTGGTCTCGTCTGATCTCGGAAGATGTGGAGGAACCTTAAATGCACATTGCTAAGTGAAAGAAGCCAATCCGAAAGGCAGCGTACTGTATGATTCCAACTACAGTATATGACGTTCTGGAAAAGACAATATTATAGAGACAGTGAAAAGATAAGAAGTTGCAGAGAGGGAGGTGGAGCACAGAGGATTTTAGGGCAGTGAAATTATATGATACAATAAGGCAGATACATGTCATTATAAAAATTTTTTTTTCTGGCAGCTGGCTGGTAACAGGGATCAAACCTTGGACCTTGGTGTTATCAACAGCACACTAACCAACAGAGCTAACCAGTTGTCAGACGCATAGGATGTACAACACAGAGTGAACCCTAATGTAAACTATGGACGTAATAACAATGTATTGGTATGGCTCATCAGTTGTAACAGGTGTATCACACCAATGCAAGATGTTAATAAGGGAAACAGGGTGGGCGGGGTGAAGGGAGGGTATATGGGAACTCTACTTTCTGCTCCGTTGTTCTGGAAACCTAAAATTGCTCTAAAAAATAAAGTCTAATAATAATAAGCCAAAGTCCTTACAGTGGCCCAGCAGGTCCGACGTAGTCTGTTCTCTTGTTACCTCCTTGACGTCATCAGCTAACTACTGCTCTCCCACTCACGCTGGCCTCTGCTGTTCCTGGAACTTGCCACAGGCTCCTACCTCAGGACCTCTGCACTAGCTAATCCCTCTGCCTGAAACACTCTGCTCCTGGACCTTCACCTCACCCCTTCCTTTGCTCATATCCATCATCAAGTCTGTTCAAGTGTGACTTCTCAGTAACGCCTACCCTGACAACCCAATCCAAAATTGTTCTGTTGCCCTAGGTGCTGGCACCCACCCCCCCTGCTCTGTTTTCCTTCATAACACTTATCACTGCCAAACACATGCAGTTTACTTAGGTGCTGTGTCTACAGAATACCTCCCTGCATTATACAATATATGCCCCATATGCAGAGTATGTGGTCTGTTTGGGTGACTGCTGTATCTCAACACGTGGCATATACAGGCACGTATTATGTTATTTATATAGTGAACTAATGAATTGAGGACCTGGGCCTATGACAGTCCAAGTACCATAAATCTCTTGATTATAGCTACCAAATGTGAAGTTGAGTGATGCTGATGTAGAATCTAGAACCAAAAAGTAATATAATTGATTTAATGTTAAGAATCAAACATTTAAGACAGAAACTATCCTGAAAAAAAAAAAAAACAACTTGGAAATATAATCACTGCAGGCAAAATGATAGAAATGACTCTCTTGCTTTTACCTTAGAGCCTTAATCCCTGCCTTTCATGACTGACAGGTTCCTGTTACCGCCATTTTGCCTGAGGCCAGCTGGTGGGCACCTGCTGCCCAGCCCTTGCCCTGGACTGTCCACATTCGGTGTGCCGGGCTCAGTTTTCTCTCTGTGTGTATCTGGACATCAGTCCAGCTAGTGCTGCTGAGAGCGAGGTCTGGTTACAGCCCTTATGTCCTTATCACTAAGGAAAATCGCTGGATCCAAGGTGGGTTTCCCCTAACCAGCTGGCCTGGTCCCTCGGGCCTTGTCAGGCTCCTGTCGCCTGCTTTAAGCAGCCATCTGTAAGCCCTGCGTGTCTAGTGGGGCTGCGTCATATTGATTTCCTAAGTTTCACAAGGTGGCCAAAATCAGCCGCAGAAGACCTCATGTGATTCTGACATTTCAGAGATGACAGAGACAGACAGGAGAGACACAGAGACAGGAGGCAGCAGAGAGGGAAGGGAATGAACAAGGAAACTGCCACACTGCACTTACGTTACCACTGACACGCTGTCTGCTCGGCCTCAGGACAGCTTCAGGAGAGTGGACAGCCCTTGGCATCCTGCACGTTCTCTTGGGTCTGTGTTCTCCCCGTTGCTCACTGATTCTGTCGTCTGTCATCTCCACTCCACTTCTGAGCCCATCCAGTGAGTTTTACTTCAGTTATTCTATTCCTCAGTCCTGTAATTTCCACTTGTCTATTTTTTGTAAGTCTTATTTCTTTGTTTCCAGAGAACCTGTAATGGCTTTTTGAAGCCTCTGTATGACGACTGCTTGGAAATCCTTGTCAGATGATTCCAGCCTCATTCACTGAGAGGAGAAATGGTTGCTAAGGTCGCCTCTGCAATGCCACTAGAAAAGGAATCATCTAGAAAAGGTTCCATGCCGACCAGAACCAGATCTCCAGACCAGAATCCAGTTATGTCTCTGCCTCGTCTAATGAGTTCTCCTGTGACCAGACTTGGGGGTAGGGCATTGTCAAAATTGTCATCATTTTCTCCATATTTAATAAAACAAAATGGACTCTCAATTGCTACTGAATTGGAAAGCATAAATTGGAATGAAATCAAGCAACATGTCCTCAGTTTTGCTGGAAGGACAGAGTGAGCCATGCAGGCTGCTTCAGACCTTCAAAGAACAAGGGGCCCCCAGCTGAAGGACAATACCCACTACCATCCCTCAGGAGCAGTGTCAGAAGGAGCCGCAGCTTAGATGAGCTCCATAAAATGAAACATGTCCTTAAAGAGCAACCATTTGCCCAGTTCTGTTTTGAACTGGCACCCAGATCTCTTCCCCAAGGCCACTCCCTAACTCCCACAACCTAGCAACAAGGTTGCTTTCCTTTCTCTTGAGAGCCTCAATGTTAAAGATAATCTTTACCCAGAACAGTGTCCACTTCATCTTCTGGTGGTTGTCAGTGACTGGTTATCTTACGTAGCTAGCCATAGTTCCTCCCAATCCTTATTTGAATATTTCCAGGGTGTCTCCTTATGTGCCTCAATTTAAGTAATACATTTCATCAAATCTTACAAACCTCCTGAGCTTGGTCTCTTAACAGAGATTGTGTTTCTCTACTGTTTTCTGAAAAAAATGTTCTAGATACACAGAAACAAATAGGGGCTCCTATTTTTCAGATAAATTCTGAGTTCCCTTCCTACCCAAGCAGGATTTCTTTTCGGTCTTTCCACCTCCATGTTTAAATACTCTAAAAGCCCAAGGAGAAGCAGCACCTGGGGTCTGTTAGGAAACTTGTCAAGCACAAGGGGGGACACACCACACCATGGTCAGCCAGCAGCCTGTGCACCTGCGGAAAAACCCTCAGGTGAGCACACCTTGGGCTCCTGTCTTCTTAAAAGGCCATGCATACAATCTGCTGGTCCCAGGTTATGGTACTGTTGGGTCGATTAGCTCAGTGAGCTAAGTCAGTGGTTCTCAGTGGTGGTCACCTGGACCAGCATCAGCATTACCTGAGAACTTGTTAGAAACACAAATTTTCAACCCCAGACCCAGGCTCACTAAATCAGAAATTCTGGGGCTGGAGTCCAGCAATCTGTATTTTCACAATCCCTTCTGGCGATTCTAATGTACACTTAAATTTAAGAACCACATAACCACCTAAACCAAAGGTAAAAAAGATGGAAGGACAATCATTACTTGAAAAAACCCCGAAATGCATGTACTTCTAATTCTGATGTCAGTGATGTCACTAACATCTTTATATGTGATGGACAGGTCAGTGTTGAACAGCCTTTCCACATCTGGCTGTAAGAGAAGGAAAACCAAACCAATCCAGATATCATTTTTAGCCCATAAGCTCTTCAATGGTGTGTATATGTATATACATATCTATCTATATATATATATATTTTTTTTTTTTATGGGGAAACACACATCACACTCCCCTCAACACCCCATCCCTATTCCCAATAACACTCTCTCCCCACCATCCTCCCAAAGAAAAAGGATTAACTGGAAAGAAATGACTAGTGTGCTCACTGCTCCCACACATGGAGCCAGAACTGAATTGTGCATGTTTCAATGCTTTGAACTGGAAAAATAATACCCACAAATGTTGCTTAGATTTATTGCATCTATTTAGGAACAATATTCCCAATAAACACCACTTGATTTATTTTATCTCCTTCATTTTTCATGATATGTATACATTATGAGCATTTTCTAAATGGAAAGAGAAAGTAAATCCCAGGAGAGACACACGTATATTCTTAAAATTGTCATACAAATAGCCCTCAACTTGAACCTGAACTCTCTAAAAATTATACATTGACATCCTTAAAATACCTTAACTATACCAAATCTGTACTTTCAGACGTCAACTACAAAACAGACATACTAAGAGCATTAGTTTTTAGCAGTGTCACTATCCTTACCTTAAAATCCTACAAATAAATCAAAGGGGAAAGATTAAACACCTGACGTTAATGCATTTATAAGATAAAGATGAATATCATAGAAGTTCTCAGAGTGAACTGTTCAGGCTCAACACAACACTCGTGACTTAAACCAATGGGTTCATCCATCATGAAGGAAAAGAACACATTCTAAAATGTGGGAAATGAAAGAAAAAGATCATATACATTTCCCTGAAGCTACTGATTGGAATACAGTTTTCTAGAACCTCCTTTATCAAGAAAAGTACAGCTGAAGGTCAACTTCCTCTTAAGAAAATTTTCAGGAAAGTTGACCAGTATTATAATATGCTCAGGCCCCTGCAGATCGCTATAAACTCATACACGCCAACACCCAGCAGGGCCCGACAGGCGCCCAGCCGTCCAACCACGCTTGCGGGGTGGCTCGCTCTCACTCCACAACTGTGTTTCCAGTATCTTCTGCTCCCCTAAAACCTCCATGCTCAGATGCCTCCCAGTTTTAGAAAACCTGCCTCCCCAGAGCCTCCCTTCTGGATTCACGCTGGTTGCTTTGGCACACAGGCTCTTGCTGAGGTCACCAAGGACAAGGGTGACCACATATCTAGGTTTGTCCAGGCAGTCTGGTTTACACCTGCTGTCTAGAACAATTATTAACAGTGCCTTCTTCCCCTCCAGGCGTATGGCTGAGGCTAACAGGGCTTTTTGAATTGCACTCACTTGACCTCTCAGCAGCATGCTAGCGGTCCTCTGCTCCCAACCTCCTGGTCACACCGCCCCCACTCCCGACTGACCACTTTGACCACCCTCCCTGAGTCTTCCCAGGCTCATGGGCACTGCCTGCTGATGAATGTCCAGCACTCCCTCGGCTGGTTCTAGGCCTTCCATATTCACACCACAGCTTCCCCAGAGGAAATCTCCCCACTCCTACACCTCAATTCGCATCTCTAGATGATGATTCCAAACCCGTACTCCATCCAGGTGTCCTCTAAGCTCCTACTGCCCCACGCATAGATGCCTCTAGCAACACGCTCAATGCAGAGTGCTTTTGTGATCTGCCTGCACCCACCGAGGCCTCCCGCAGCACTGACTCACCGGCCACACCGCCTCATCCTGTCACGTGCGGCAGAAACCCAGGAGTCACCCGAATGCCTCTCCCTTCCTGAGTCCCTCTCCATGCCCCCCTCGCCTCTCCACTGCCTCCGATCCAACACCCGCCCTGCTGCTCTCAGTGGGCCGCATCTGACCTGTTCTCCACACCGCCGCTGGAGTGTTGTTTCTGAAACACACAACTGATCACGTCATTCTCCCCTTAAAAAACCCTGAAAAACCTCAAAACCTGTACAAACAATGGCCCACCAGACCCCAGGCTCCCTGGCCCTGCCCAGGTGCAGGCCTCTCCCATCACTCCCAACACACCGGACCGCCTCTCACTGGACCTTGCATGCACATACCCTCCTCCAATGACAGCTACTCGCCCAGCAGGGCTCACCGCAAATGCCACCTCTTGAGAGCCTCTCCTAAACCGTCACTGTCCGCATCCAAAGGTCTAGTCAGGCTTCTTTGCTGCGCACGTGTGAAAATCTGCTCCTCGCCTCCAGAGCATGCGTGTCATTCATAACAGAATCAATCATGCGATTTCTTTACTGTCCGCCCCCATGAGACAGTATGCTGTCTGTTTGCACTAATCATTCAATCTCCAGTGCCTGGCACAATTCGTGGAATACGGTACACTCCCAATAAAGACTTGAGGAGAAAATAAACAAATAAATAGATAAATGAGCTCTCTGGAAATAATCCCTTCCCCCCATGAAATGTAAGTACACTATTAACCTTTGTACAGTAAAATTTGTACGGTAAAATTCACGTTTTCTAGATTCACAATTAGATTCAAAAGTCGGGAATAGCCAGTAAAATGAATTAAAGCTCCACTACACACAACAAAAACATAATTATGCACCGGGTGAAGACTGTCTTATAACACGTATTGAAGTATCATTGACATATAAAAACTGCTTACATTTAAAGCGTTAAATTCAAGAAGTTTCAACATATATGCACCCTTAAGAAACATCACAAGTATCAATATAATGACCATCCCACTACCCGGAAGGTCTCCTTGAGCTGCTTTGTAATCATTTCCTCCTGCCGCCTGCAGAGCCCCAAGGGACACTGATTACTTTCTGTCTACATTGCATTTTCTAGAATTTTATATAAATGGAATCGTACAGTATGTACTTTTTTGCTTAGCTTCTTTCATTTAACATAATTTTGAGATTCATCCATGTTATAGAGTATTCTTTTTTATTGCTGACTGGTATTCCAGTATGTGGATACACCACAACTTGTTTACCCTTTCACCAGTTAAAAAACATCTGGGCTGCTTCCAGTTTGGGGCTATTAAAAATAAAGCTGTTATGAGCATTTGTGTGCAAGATTTGGTATATTATGTTATTTGCATTTTCTTGGGTAGGTACCTAGAAGTGGAATGCCTAAAACATTTGGTAGAGGTATATCTCATATTTTAAGGAACTGATATGCTGTTTTCTGAGGCTGCTGTGCAGTGTCACATTCCCACATCACTGAGCATTCCCCTTCTTTCACATACTTGTCCATGCTCGCTGCGATCACTCTTTTAGCCACTGTAATAGGCGTGCAGTGATATCTCATTGTAGTTTTAATCTGCATTCCCCTAATGACTAATAATGTTGGGCTTCTTTTCATGTGCTTAATTTCTGTCTGTATATCTTCTTCAGTGAAGTGTCTGTTCATACCATTTGCCCATTTAAAAAAATTTTTTATATTAACACTTACTTGTACATATTTGTGGAGTACAGTGTGTTGTTTTGATATATGCGTATGCTGCACAATGATTCACTTAGGATAGCAAGCATAGTTTTGTACCCGTTAGTCCACCACTTCTCATCCCCCCACTCCCCTCCCAGGATCTGGGAACCATTATTCTATTCTGTACTTCTATGAGAACCACTTATGGCGTTTGTCTTTCTGTGTCTGGCGTACTTCAGTTAACACGATGCTTTCCAGTTCCATACATGTTGCTGCAAATGACAGGATATCATTTCTTTGTATAGCTGAGTGGTATACCATTGTGTATATCTACCAGGTTTTTTGATCCATTCAT